TATAAGAATTTATTTAGGCATAAGTATTATAAAAGTCATGTTAGTATGAATTTAAAAGTCACAGAAAGAATACTTATCCAAACAAACCCTGACAGCATTTCAAATTTCCTGTATTGTGAGAAAGCTTAGCCAAATATAATTTTTCTGTCACAATGTAATCATTTTCCAGCACATTCCTTTTCTCACCCACACACCCTCTTAGTATTTAACAATGTATTATTTACCAAAGTGCAATTTTTACAAATTCAATTATTCATATTTCTTTAAAATACTTTTCTCTGACCAACTTTCCATTACAAACATAAAACAATGACAGGTTGACCACTGCTAAATTTTAAGAGTAAATTATATAAAAAACTAGATTCATACTGAGAAAATTAATTTCACATGTGAGCACTTTACCTTGATAACACAATCACGGTCTTCCTTATCTGATGTAGGCTGTAAATCATCGGTCGCCTGTTTGCCGGAAAGCCTTTAGAGCAAATATATACAACAAAAATGAGGGTGTTCATTTCTTTAAAAAAGTAATTTACAGGTCCATACCTGCATGTGACCTCCAAAAAAACAGAAAGGGAAACAAATCTGGTGAGAGGCCAGCTATCTCTATATTAATATTGCTTAAGAAAATTAAAATTTGGCCTCTGTTGTAGATTTTAGTTACTTATTTCTAGCTCCACAATTCCCAATCTATGAAATAGTCAATAAAGACCCACGCGTAGTTCCATAACAAATCATGGCAGCCAATACACTGGCATAGTCGGAGAATAATTTGTCTTCACAAATTGTATGTCCTAGAGGCTGAGCTGAAAATCCAATTAATTGTTGACATAATTTTTAATACCTAAACTGGAACAAACCTGATAACTTAAAACAAGGTAGAAAAATAGTGTCTCCTCTCCTTCATTTACCCCTGGTTCAAAGAGTAATCTGCATCACTCAAAAATGGCAGCCTGGGTTCTTCAGCATGGAAATCACTTAAGAAGGCCTCAGTGCAGGCCGGGTATGGTGGCTCATGCCTGTAATCCCAGCATTTTAGGAGGCCGAGACTGGTGGATCACGAGGTCAGGGGATCTAAAATTACAAAAAAAAAAAAAAAAGGCCGGGCGTAGTGGCCGGGGACTGTAGTCCCAGCTACTCCAGAGGCTGAGGCAGGAGAATGGCGTGAACCCGGGAGGCGGAGCTTGCAGTGAGCCAAGATCGCGCCACTGCACTCCAGCCTGGGCAACAGAGCGAGACTCCGTCTCAAAAAAAAAAAAAAAAAAAAGACCTCAGTGCTTACCTTTACCCTAAAACACTACAAGGATTCCCTTGAAACATTTGAAATACTTGAAAGTTAAATATATGAAAGTCAGAGGAAAATGTCTATGTTGTTATTAAAAATATTCTTCCCAGAAATATTGAAACACTAAAAATTATAAAATCCTAGTATAGGTCCTGTCCCTGAATAGGTCCATCCTATTCAGGTTCACATAAACTAGCAAGTCCTTAACAACCTTTATAGGCACTCAGATACCTAAGGAGAGAGACTGCTGAAAAAATACAGTCCTGGTAGTTGTACAGCTCTGTGTCCCCAAATATTATTAAGTACTATCTAAATATCTTCCTTCCTTTTAGATTCCTCTTAGGCAAGGTTCTATGGCAGTCTCCAACCTTTAAATCTTCAGCCAACGGAAATACAAATTCCTAAAACGATAGGGTCGAATAACCAAGAGTAGGAGCTATTTCCTTGCTCCTGGAAAACAAGCTAAATGGAGTCTGTCATCTGTCCCCAGCAGATGACAGATTCAGTTACCCAACTAAAGCTCCATGACTGATTTGACAGCCAATCCTACCTCTGCCCTAGTCTGCATGGACATGGGAAAAAGTCAGTAGATTGGAAAAAGAAATAGAGGTGAGGGGACACCTTGCCCTGGGCCATAGATCTGTCAAGTTCTGTAAACTCTAGTCCCCTAGTACTTGAGGGGCTCTGAGCCACTCCTGTGTAAGTTGCAATGAAGGTAGATGATACCACAAGCCTCTCTGCTATACCGACTCCTCCCAGTGACTCAAATTCTTTTACCATCATTCAATAGAAACTCTGAAGTTTGTCAGCTGCTCCAATTAAACAACCAAAAAAGCAGCCACTCATTTGCGATTCCCTTGAACCTCTTATTTTAATACACCTTTCTAGATAACTCCCAACATCCTGTGCCTTTTCTTTCTAAAATCTATCAAACTTGTCATAAACCCCAATATTCTGACCTCTTTTCTAAAATCCTCATTCCTGCCTAACTCAGTGTTCTCCTCAAACTAGGCCTTCCCCTACTCCTTTCATTCCTATCCTCTTCCATTGGTTCATCAGTTGATTCCATTCTTTTCCTCGTCCACTGTGTTCACTATTCCCACCTTCCCGTTCTATTATTAAAATGCACACTGACAGGATGATGAAGAAGGGAGAGGACTGGGCTTTCAAAGGAGTTCAAATCTCATTTCTGCCACTTCCTATGTCCAAATAAGTCACTTTAACCTCCTTAAGTTTCAGGTTCTCCATCTGAATAACCACTTGACTAGAATGTTAAACATAGTTTTAAGTACTAGAGGGTATTTTGATTAGCCACTAAGATTCCTTAAAATTCTGAAATTCTATGTGCTTTTGATTCTGTCAGCAGAAAAAAAAAGGAACAGTTAGCTGGCAGAAATGGAAAAAATAATAGAACGAAAGACACCCCTAGAAAAGTGAAGAAGTTAAAAACTCAAGAGAAGGCCGGGTGCAGTGGCTCACGCCTGTAATCCCAGCACTTCGGGAGGCCGAGGCGGGCGGATCACAAGGTCAGGAGATCGAGACCACGGTGAAACCCTGTCTCTACTAAAAATACAAAAAAGTAGTCGGGCGCGGTGGCGGGCGCCTGTAGTCCCAGCTACCTCAGGAGGCTGAGGCAGGAGAATGGCGTGAACCCAGGAGGCGGAGTTTGCAGTGAGCCAAGATCACGCCACTGCACTCCAGCCTGAGGGACAGAGAGAGACTCCGTCTCAAAAAAAAAAAAAAAAAAAAACCTCAAGAGAAGATTATAGAAACTAGTGGAAGAAGAAAAAAGTCTCCAGGGAAAAAAGCTTCATGGAACTAGGCAGAGTAAACTAATGGGAAAACTAAACTTGGAAGTCTAAGTAGAGAAATCACCTAGACATAGATTCTAAATAAACAATAAATATAATTAACATGACACAGATATGTAAATATGGATATGTAACATAACATGGATATGTACATATCTTTCACTTAAAATAAAATAATTCTTACAATAAGTTTCTAAAACTTGCCTGGTCTTGCTTATGTAAAACCTATGGTTCTGTGGCCTAGCTAAATAAGATCTGCCCTAAAATCTTTGATGGTAAAAACAAGTTGCTGGTTAGCACTGAAACTGCCAAAAATATATAAGACAAATTATTGGACTAATCTGACTTCTAAGGAAAAGTATAAATCAGAGTTAATATATAACTAAATGTGACTTTTTGAATTAATCTGATTTGGACCTGTACCTTGATCCCAGTGCTGCACAGGTCTCTATCAGGTCTCTACTCTTGTTCTATGAGTCAGCTAATTGTTAATTATAGGATCGGGGCCAATGAATCAACCTCTCTAAACCACAGTTGCCTGATTAGTAAAAAGTAGGTTGTAACTGCACAGACACTTTGCAAAGCTGTTGTGATGACTATATGGGATGAGTTAGGCACATAATATGATGTGCTATTTTGAGTGCACAGCAGGATGCAACAATCAGCAGATATTCGTTTCTTTTCCCTGTAATCCCTTGGTTAACAGATAAATATTTAAAATCTGTAAATCCTACCTGATTACAGAGTCCTCAAAACTCCCATCCACTGTTAAAGAAAAAAGTAAAATACCTTTTAAATCAACAATAGAAACACATAGAATACTGAAGGCATAAAATGACCTGGTAGGCTAAGGCTGAAGGATCGCTTGAGGAGCCCTGAAGTTCAAGAACAGGCTGGGCAACAGAGCAAAACTCTACCTTTATTTTTAAAAACCATGCACGCTTTTCTGCATGCTTTAGACTTTGTGTTTTAAAAAGGCATAAGACTGATGCTTTATTACAAAGTATTCCCTTGGGGCCATACCTAGATATTATCCTAGAATGTTAATTATACTATTGGTAGGAAATTAATGCATTAAGAACTCTTACTGCCCCTCCTTTGCATCTATAAAATGCAAGGAAGAATGGGAATTATCCAAATGTGGTCCTTAAAAGGAACTGCTGTGTACAATTATAATCCTAAATGAACCCTGTCAGTCTCACTGGCATCATTAACAAAATATGTATCATAAGCTAACAGTGTCAAACGTAGCATGATTTCTGGACTAACGGACTAAGAGCAGTTAGAACAATGTGCACTGTAACCCCCTTACCCATCTTATGTGTGAAAAAAAAAATGACCACAATGTATTTTTCTCTGCTCTCAAAGTACAACAACAATAACAAACACAGAAGACTTCTGTGATCAAATGAGGGGAAGACTTTTCTGCACCAACAAGCAATCAATCAATCCTGTAGCAGACACCAGCCGGGGGTCCTCTAAATCAATTCCTCACAAGTTGAGGGTGCAGTCCCCAAGGCTGCCCCCTCCCCTCACCAGTCACAATTCTGGGCCTCCAGAATGCCTAACTTCAAGTTATGGTTTCCATGACTCCTCCTTGGGTTTCATTAATTTGCTCAAGCAGCTCACAGAGCTTAGGGAAGCAAAACAAAACAAAACAAAAAACAAAAACAAAAAAAAAACAAACCTTGTGTTTCCTGGCTATTACAAAGAACATTACCAAAAATACAGATAAAGAGTTGCACAGGGCCGGGTTTTGGGAAGGGGTGTAGAGTCTCATACCCTCCAAGGGAGCACCACCCTCCAGAAGCCTCCATGTATTCAGGTATCTGGAAGCTCCCTGAACCCTATCCTCTTGGGTTTTTATGGAAGCTTCATTACACAGGAATGGCTGACTAAATCACTGGCCGTTGGTGATGAGCTTAATCTTCAGCTCCTCTCGCCTCCTAGGCGGCTAGAAGTTCCAATCCTCTAATCATGCCTTCATCTTTCCGGTGACCAGACTTCCGTCCAGACCGAAACCCAAGATGGGTGCACTCTTGCTGAGACATGTTGGTCGTCATTGCCTCCCAGCCCACTTAGGCCCTCAGCTCTGCATCAGAAATGCTATTCCTTTGGGAACCACGGCCAAAGAAGGGATGGAGTGGTTCTGGAATAAGAACATTACGGGTTCAAACCGTCCTGTATCTCCCCACATCACTATCTACAGTTGGTCTCTTCCCATGGCGATGTCCATCTGCCACAGCGGCACTGGTATTGCTTTGAGTGCAGGGGTCTCTCTTTTTAGCATGTCGGCCCTGTTACTCCCTGGGAACTTTGGGAGTCTTATTTGGAACTCCTGAAGTCCCTGTGTCTGGGGCCAGCACTGATCCACACAGCTAAGTTTGCACTCGTCTTCCCTCTCATGTATCATACCTAGAATGGGATCTGACATTTGATGTGGGACTAGGAAAAGGCCTGAAGATTCCCCAGCTATACCAGTGTGGAGTGGTTGTCCTTGTTCTTACTGTGTTGTCCTCTATGGGGCTGGCAGCCACGTGAAGAACGGAGGTTCCCAGCATCATCTTCCTACACATTATTACATTCACCCATCTTTCTGTTTGTCATTCTTATCTCCAGCCTGGGAAAAGTTCTCCTTATTTGTTTAGATCCTTTTGTGCTTTCAGATCCCCTTGGAGCAGTAGAGTACCTTGTAGACCATAATAGTGGAAAAGGGTCTAGTTTTCCCCTTGTTTCTAAAGATGGGGTGGCTGCAAAACTCCCCTTTTTTTGCCCTCAGCTTGCCTACTCTCTGCCTAGAAGCAGTTATTCTGTCTCCATATTGGGCTTTGATTGTGCTGAGGATCAGCTTTTGGCTCCTTCTTCTGGAGACACTGGAAACAATGCCAGCTCTGTGGCTTGTGCCCTGCGGACTGGGGGCGAGGCTTTGGGTGCCACTGCCTGTGGGTTGCTGGTTTAAAGGACAATTCTGTTCACTGGTGAGAGCCCAGGCCATTAACACCTACGCAGTGTTACTGAAAGAAGAGAGGTGGGGGTGGAGGGGAATCAGTCTGTCCCAGCTAGAGGGAGATAAAGAGGGCTAGTTAGTTCTTGGAGCAGCTGCTTTTGAGGAGAAAATATATAACTTTTGACACAAGAAGAAGATCCAGAAAATTATCATTGAACATATTAATGGTTATTTCTTTTTCTTGGATTTCCAGAAAAGCCTCTTAATTTTATGCTTTCTCATCGAAGTCATGTACCCTTTTTTTCTGAAACTTAATTAAAATACTCATTTTATCTTTGACTCTCCTTGAAATCTAGGGAAACCAAGAAAACGGATGTTGGAAAGGAACCAATTTCCTCCTTTTCCCTCAGGTCTCAGGCATTTACATCCTCCCTCTCCCGGCAATCTGACCTTTCCCAGGAGGGAAACAGTTTTCCTACATCTCATCATTGGAAAAGTTTTCAGGGAATCAGATAGAACTTAGCCAGAGATTTAAATATCATAGAGACGCCTCAGAGAAGGAAGGAGAAAAAGAAAAGAAGTGATGCATGTAGAGTGCTTTTGGGTTATAGGCACCAAAATCCCATTAAGGACTGATTATAAGCTTCATGGTACAGTTCAGCAAATTATGATTCAGTGAGGGCCACAGAAGAGCAGTGTTGGTGACAGCTAAGGGATGATGATCTGAAGTTACAGGCTTGGGGTGAATGAAGAATAGAGATTAAAAAGAGAGAGAGATTGTTGAAAACCTGGCAAAAATGTATAATTTAATGAGAAAACTTGCTGCTTTTAAAATCCATATAGGCCAGGCTTTAGCAGGCCTGCTGTTTTGATAGTTTTTGGCAACTCTGGAATAAGAGACCTATCTGGTCTGTCACTTTGAGTTGCTGGCCAGCCAGTTAAAGCTATGGGTCGAAGAGGGGAAATGGTAACTGGCTGGTGTCAATTGGATAGGAAGACCTTAGTTAAGGTGGGGACCTGCTGTTTTAACAGTCTTCATTCAGGGTCCCAAATAGTATTTGGCGTTAAGTAATGATTGCTTTTCCCTTTTCACTAGAGGGGCCCTGGGAAGTCCTTGTACCTTTCCTCCATTTTAAACCAGCTATTCTCTACTTTGTCCTTGGAGTGAGGGACAAGTGATCATGAGAGAACACTTTGTCACTGGGACAGGGAAAGGTTTGGCAAGGGCATTAAATTTAACAGCCAGTGCCAGGAACATGTAAAACGGGGTCAATGATAAACAGATGTTAGAGGCTGGAAAATGGGTTAGGGCAGTTGAATTTTTTGGTGGTTTCTTACCATTTGGGTGATTGAAGCATGGTAGTGGGTGGGTAGGGGGTGTGACAGAGCATCATGTTTGTTATTCTGCCTTAAATTTCTACTTACTGTCTTTGTTTTTCTTCTCTGTCTTCCAATCACTTTAATATCTTCAATTTTCAAACTATATTTGTACTTGGGCTTATATAGAAAGTCTTACACAAGCATAGTATCTTCTACTTTGGTTTTCCCTACCTTTTCTTCCCCACCTTCTCCAAACACACATATACACACGCTGCTCAGCAATTCTACTTCTGACTTTGTAGTTGTTAGTTGTACATGCTCAGGATAAAAAATGAGTGGGTAGGGTTGAGGGACTGGTTCTCTGAGGTTCTGCCCTCTTTTCATGATTCAGACCGACTTTCTCTTCGTCATTTCTGGAGTATATCTGACTCAATTCTTGTAAAAATGTATTCCACCCTAACCACTGTATGTTTCTTTCCCTACTTTATTTTCCCCCACCTTCCTTCTCCTAATTGTGTTACAAGAGACAGCCATAGCAAGAATGGAAAATCCAGATCAGTAAAAGATTCAGCAACAACAACAACAAAAAATCTTTCTGGTGACCAGCCCCCATCCTGAAGCTGCTTAGCCATCAATCAATCATTAGCATACAAAGACATCACTTTGGAGATTCTAGATTTTAGGAGTTGTATGCCATGAAATGGAATTGTAAAGCGAACTAAATATGACCTGAGAAGGACTCCTTACTTCTGTATTTGTGTCCATGTGGATGAACTGGAACCTAGCTTAATAAGTAGACAATATTAAAAACCTAACAGGAGTATGCACCTGTAACAATAACTGAGTCTTGGCCAATCCCAGCAGCCATACCTCAACCATTCATACACTGCTGAGTGTTCAAACTGTGTTCAAACAAGGCAAACACCAACCTGTAACCAATCCAGCTGTTCTGTACCTCACTTCCGATTTCTGGACATCATTTCCTCTTTTTTTTGCCTATAAATCTTCTTCTACCATGTGACTGTGCTGGAGTCTCTGTGAATCTGCCATGATTCTGGGGGCTGCCCAGTTCACTAATTGTTCATTGCTCAATTAAATTCCTTTAAATTTAATTCAGCCAAAGTTTTTATTTTAACAGAGTTGAAGACCAAATATGTATTTCATGGTATCACATCTGTGGTTTTGCTTTCTGTGGTTTTAGTTACCCACAGTCATTCATGATCCATAAATATTAAATGAAAAGTTTGGAAATAGTAAGTTTTAAGTTGCATGTTGTTCTAAGTGGCGTAAAATCTTCAGCCATCTCAATTCATCCCAGCCAGGGTATGAATCATCATTTTGTCTAGTGTATCTACATTGTATATGCTATCTACCCATTAGTCATTGGCATGGTCTTCTCCTGACAACCAACCACCGGTATCATCAAGACTCAATAATCCAGGATCACCCAAAGCAGATAATCCTTCTCCTGAAGGTCAATAGTAGCCTAACACTACATCATGATGCCTATGCCATCTCATTACAGAAGCACTGTATCACCACATATCATCAACAGAATAAGGGTGAGTACAGTGCAAGAAAATATTTTAAGGAACCATATTCACAAAACTTTTTATAGTACATTGTTATGATTGTTCTATTTTATTATCTATTGTTAAGTTCATACTGTGCCTAATTTATAAATCAAGCTTTGTATAGACATGTATGTATAGGAAAAGACATTGTGTATATAGGGCTTGGTACTATCCACAGTTTCAGGCATTTGCTGGGGGTTTTGAAATGTATCCCCTGTGGAAAAGGGAAGACAAGTGGACTTATTTTGTTGTGACACAACAAAGCTTCTCCAGTTCTTCACTTAAAACTGTTCAGTTTAGAATAAAACATCCTATCACAAGGAAGCTAGGTCCATGAGCACTGTACTATATTTTATGGCAAAACATAGGAAACAGACCAGGGACAAAGATTCTTGCAAAGACTTTTCAGTTGCCAGTGGAGAAGATCTCAAGGGAGATCACTGTACTCACTATTGCTAATACTCTTCTGGGGAAAATGCTGGTTAAGTTTACTTAGTTCTGGCTATTTTCTCTGCCCTATGTATGCCACAGACAAGGCTCAAATTTGCCTGCCGTTTCACTCCTATGGAAAAGAACCACTGGAAAGATCATTCCCTTATGAGCTTATCCACTCACTCAGAAGCATACCACTTATTCAGAGAGAAGCTTAAGAAGAAACACTGAAGAGGTGGTGGCAAGTTGCCAGGGAGTACTATCTGATGTGAAAAATATATATGAACAGAACTATCAACTCACTCAAGCTATTAGAATGTGCCAACAGTTGTCACTCTCTCCAGTGGAAGAAAAAACTTCTTTCACACTTCATGTAAAGCAAACACTGTGACTCCCTGGGCATTTCTCATGACAGAGAATCTAGTTATAGGCAAGCCATGTCGTAATAATATAGACTCTTTTCAAACTCATATCTCAAAGGAAGATAATCAGTGAGGAACATATTTATCTACCTGTAGTATTCACTGCCTCATCTTATCTTCAATTGCAAGGCACGAAAGTTTTATAAAGTACAAACTCTTAAGATTGTCCCTTTTCATTCATAGAAAGTCTATCTGGACCCACCTCATAGAGCAGGATGGTCTGTAGTGCTGCACGATGTCATTTTTGTCAACCCTATTATGTGGCAAGTGTCTATAGAAATCATGCTTTCTCAGTATGGAAAGCATATATCATCATATTCTACGATGCTGAACAAAATGAAAAGGAAACAAAAGGACATTTGTAGGAACATGGATGCAGCTGGAAACCATCATTCTCAGCAAACTATCACAAGAACAGAAAACCAAACACCGCATATTCTCACTCATCGGTGGAAATTGAACAATGAGAACACCTGGACACAGGAAGGGGAACATCACACACTGGGGCCTGTTGTGGGGAGGGGGTAGGGGGGAGGGATAGCATTAAGAGCTATACCTAATGTAAATGACGAGTTCATGGGTGCAGCACACCAACATGGCACATGTATACATATGTAACAAACCTGCACATTGTGCACATGTATCCTAGAACATAAAGTAAAACAATAAAAAAAAAAGAAAACAAAACGACAAAGAACATCTTAAATGACTACTGCAATTACCATGGAATTTTAATTTGTTTGTATTCAAATAGTTATCCACTGTACTATTCCAATACAGTGGAATTCCAGACTAGTCTGGAAAAAGCAAACTATGGAGACAGCAAAAAGATCAGTGGTTGCCAGGGGTTAGTGGGGAGAGAGAGATGAAAAGGCACAGTACAGAGGATTTTTAGGGCCATAAAACGGTTGTGTCTAGGATACTTACAAAGGTAGAAACATGTCATTATACAT